TATCCGAAAAGGGCTTATACCAGGTGCCAGCTTTGCTCATGTAGCTGATATGACTGAAATGTTCGATATCTTCTCCCGCTTTCCTGTGTGTTCGTATCTAGGAAACGTTTTAGTCAAATAATTATCTTACATTTACCATCTCAAATTTGTCAATATGAAAATGCCACGAAGTAAAAAATCGCAGGCATTATAAGTGACTATGATTGCTGAAGTGATGAAACACGAACAAAACACATTCATGATTGTGAATCCTTTGTATTTAATGTGTTTTGTTTTTACAATATGCGAGGAGCTCTCCCAGATACAGCTTCACCTATTTTTGCAGCAACTTGAAAGGCAAAATCAATCAATTTGTTCATTTGCTGTACCACCCAATTTGGCTTATTGGGTTCATCTCGCTGTCGTTCATTTCGTCTTTCATGATGGGACCGATGACCGTTTTCTCGATTCTCCTGAATACGGTTATACATCTGATAAAGTTGATCCACGTCCTCCTTGAACTGATCATTTTTGTCGTCTTGATCATTCACATAATTCTTAAGATGTCCAAATATAGCCTGACCGTTTTTGACTTTTCGTTCTATCTCCCTTGTTCTTTGATCTAGATCTTCAAGTATTTCATCTGTGTTTCTCATCTTTTGCAATATTTCATTATTCATTTTTTGTATTTCAATCCAATCAGCCTTCAACACGAATATTTCAGTTTCATCAGTATCCATTTGTTTCTTTATCTTTGCCATTTCTCCATTTGCCGTTTTAATGTTTTGTTCCATATCTGATATCCGACCTGGGGAAAACCATATCGCTAGCATAGCTGTATATACTACGAATAATGAGGCGATGATAATCTGCAACTCGTACATGTTGAAAGGAAATCAATACACACAACCTACAAAATAAACAAAAACATACCGTAAGAGGTTTAATGTGTTCATCATCGTTAAAAGATTGATTTTACTGCAAACTGCTTGTATTATATTTAAAAAGTAAAATAGGATAATTTCCATTGTATAAAAGTGGTACATGTATCTATGAACAGATATAAACTTTGACCAGTCACATAAAATGACAATAATGTCATTACAAAAAATATCTATGGTACTTTTTATATCATTATTTTTACGAATTTCTTAAATTTATTTTTGTGATCCACTCTCGCAAAATCATGCCCCTTCGTCGGCGGCTGTTCGTCCTTTCTGTGTCCGGCGTTAGCCTTTCCTCCAGAAACTACAGACCTAGAATCGTAATTGACGCATTTGAAAATGGGAAGTGGATTTTTTTTAAACCATTGCCTTTCTCTCTTTTAATATCATCGGGTCAAATATGATAAAACATTGAAATGACTTCCTCTGAGGTATAGTCATGATATTGGACTTTTAGCTATATCTTGCTGGGGCAGAGGGCTGTCACGTTTGGTCAAACAAACTGCCTTATGTTTGGCCTAATAAGTTAAAATAAAAACAGAAACTGAAGAGTCGCCAAAGAAATAACATGGTATACCCCTGCATAAATACTAGAGGACAAAATCCCTGACAGTACATATATGTCAACTCTGTGTCATCGAGAGGAACTGTTCCGTTGAACTATTTGATCCCTCCAAAGTCGTAGGATCCAGTCTGATCCCCTTATCTTATTATTATGCCCCACACCTCTACCCCACCCGCAACGAAATTGGTGGAGGGGGGTGGGTGAAGGGGGTACACTGAAATCATCCTGTGTGTATGTCCTCCTAAATTTCTAAACCAATTGCAACGAAACTTTACTGATGTTATAACTACATCCCTGATAATGTGCATCCAGGTATTTTTCTATTCTGACCACTTTTTACGGAGCTATGTTTCTTTGTTGAAAATTTCTTGTACAGAAAACTCCTCCAAAACTATTTCAACGAAAGTTTTCAGATATGATAACTATTCTCTGATATTATTCAACCATGTATTACTTTTTCATTCCGACCCTTTTTATGGAGTTAAGTCCCTTTGTTGAAAATCCTTATACTTATATTGATATCATAGAATTGACAGCAGATTTTTTAAATTCCGATAGATTATGTAAATCCCCATAGTCATGATTGCCATTTGAAATATATCTGTTGAATTCACAGAAAATGTAAGCTAACGAATGACATTGGTCTGAGTACTTGATTTTACTTTGGGAAATCCATTATGTATGGTGTGAATATTTGTACGAAATGATGCAGGATAATAATTTATTAATAAAACATGGCCCACTGCACCATTGAACTGAAGGTAGAGGTCATTTCACTTTATACAGTTTTGTGTTGTGCGAACACTCTCTGCAGCAATCAACATGTCCACCTCGGACGAGTGCTTGGAGTTATTTCGGTCCTAATAAGCTAAAATTATGTATTTTACATTATACACAAATATTGGCCAGTAGTCGGGAGAAATTTGAACAAGTATTATCAAAATAGCACTTGTAGTAGGCACGATATAGATGGGAACAATTCATCTTACCCTTTTATGAAAATAACAGCAATTCTGTTTAACCAAGTCAACGATGCGTATGATATAGGTCAAAACACACCAAAACAGCTATAAGGACATCACAAATATGAAAGTTGATAATAACACAATCATGTACCAGAAGTAGTGAGAAAAGAGAATTCATGAAGATGTATTGAAATATGTCATTTAATTGATTAATCGATAGTGCTAAGAATATTGAAAACAGTATCAGCGTATCGTATTAAGTAGTCTTCTGTCTTATCCCACTATTCAGTCACATCTGGAAATTCTTAAATTCTTAATACAATAACAAACCGTACAATATAGAGGTAATATTATATACCTTCCCCCCTTCCAACCCATTGACAAATGTGTATTCGTGGTCTCATCAGTTAGCCTTCTCCCTCCCAACCCCTTGACAACTGTGTATTGCGCATGTGGGATTATTAAGTGAATGGTGTGCTTATTTGACATTTGTATTTGGATTGTAAACATTGATATTAGGTTATATTTATCTGTAACATCTCTATTGAGTAATTCAATAAATGCAATGTAAATGGAATGGATGTAAATGTAATTTAGATAACACTGGATTGCTTGATTTGAGTGTTAATCCTTAATACATAGTGATCATTTTAGCTTTGCACTTTGTGATCAATACATTTGATGTCATTATATCGAGATATCGTATTTTTTATTCAAAATATTTAGTACTGATCGTGTCTTTGGAAATGTTTTGTAGTTTCAACTGTATATTCTAGTTTCTTTTGAAATATTTTGTACATCTTTTGATTGTCCATTTGGTATTTTATTTCCCTTTTTACGAAAAAAAATCTTTTTTTTTTTTGATGAATCATATGCATGTAAAAAGCTAAATCAAGATGTACGACATGGCCTCGTAACATATAACAAGTAAATGAACACAGTTGAAATATAAGGCTGACTGTGATTCGTCTGCCTCTGTTATTCTGTATCAATACTTTTCATTGTTCACCAAAACTTTTTGAATTTGGTAACACACTCCCACAGTAACGATTCATCTCATTGAGCATTATTAGGTAAATATAGGATATGCTCATTTCACTCTTAAAATAGCTTTACAAATATAGGCCAGTAGTCGAGAGAAATTTGAACATTGTTGATAACCAGTCAAAAGTTGATTAAATTGACTAATAGGTTTACAGTGTATGTAATATTATGGTTTGTCATTTAAAGAATGTTTTTTGTAAATAACGAGTTTCAAACACAATTGTAGAATTTTTATTTACAATATTAAGTAATAATCTTGTCTTTGCAAATGTTTTGTAAATTCATCTGTATATTCTAGTTTGTTTCGCAATATTTGACTGCTTTTGATTGTCCATTTGTTAATTTATTGTCATTTAACAAAAACCAATAATAACTATACTTTTATAAAACACATGCATGTGAAAAGCAACCGTCGGCAGTATTTGCTCGTTTACGGGAAGTGCCGACGGTTCCCGATTGCCATTGGTCTGCCTTTGTTAAACTAGTCATTCAAGAGTCTGGTTAAACACAGTACTTTAGAATTACCATCACCAGAAGGCAAGGTTTTACTTTCGTTTCCGGAAGATATTTTAACGCCGTTAAAACATTTCAAAGAAAAGGGAAATTAATGAAAAAAACTTACCTGTACATGCATTCCTGAAGTATCCGTGTATTCACTATTATTGAGAAAACATTAAGAAAATGTCAATTTTCCATAATAATGTCATATATTTCCACTGAATAAATCATAACTGAGCACAAAGCCAACAAGGTTAACTGAGGGTGGAAAAAAGTATGCAAAGCAAGTGAGATTTTACCTGTACACCATTCAAAACACTACAGGTTTCTCACTCGGGTAATCTGGCTTGCCTTGTATCAATAGCCTTGTTAGCTTCATGAATTATTGTAAAATATCCAATGAAAATAGACTACATGCAATCAATATTGAGATTTGAAGCATTTTCTCGATAAAAGTGAAAACACGGATGCTTCAGAAATGCTGGTACAGGTAATTTTTTTCATAAATTAAAATATTTTGACTTCAAAAGTTGAAAAAAGGTGTGTCTACCTTTGACCAATGAAATCATTTACCAGAATCCTGTAAAGACCCAGTGCTATCGTCACAAAACGATAGCACTGGGTTTGACCTAGTCTCGTTCAACCAGACGCTTGATCACTTGTAATTCAAGAGTCTGGTCAAACACAGTACTTAGAAATTACCATCACCATAGAGTAGTGTTTTTACTTTCGTTTTCAGACTTTATGTCAACGCCGTTTAAACATTTCAAAGAATAATGAAATGAATGAAAGAAAATGTGTCGAATCTCCAGAATAATGGCACATATTTCCACTGAATAAATCATAACTGAGTACAACGCCAACAAGACTGACTGAGGTTGGAAAAAGCGTGCAAAACAAGTGAGATTTTACCTCTACACCATTCAAAACACTAAAGGTTTCTCACTCAGGTAATCTGGCTTTAAAAGGAATGCATTAAAATATTCAATGTCATTTTGCGCCTCTCAAATTCTGACTTCAAAAGCTGAAAAAGGAGTGTCTACCTTTGACCAATGAAATAATTTACCAGAATTCTGGTAAGCCTGGTTATGACCTCACAAAACGTAAGCACTTGGTTTGATCAGACTCTCTGCTCGGCGTAGCTTGTGCAGACAACAAGAGTCTGGTTGAACGAGACTATTGTTAAACACGTTTCAAACAAAAATAAAGAATCTCATGTTTATTGTCTGTTTGGCGGTAGCGCACTAAAATAACTCAATCGCCTGCGATTCATTCCCTTCCGAGAATGAGAAAACGAAAGTTAAAGTGCATTAATAAAGAACTTTGAAACCGTTGGAAACGATTCCAATGATACAACATACTCAGGACAGATTGTGTCTATAAAGCCGTTCTTTCGTTTAAGTATAGTGTAAAGATTTATATACATACTATTCTTCATATCTCATATCTATTTGTGGAAAGGAAAGAGAAAATATCTCAATATTATATCATGTATTAGTATTTTTCGCTTTTGTTCAAGGGTGAATTAAATCGGATATTGTGCTATTCATAACAAATATATGTTTACAAAAAATATGAGCCACTATTTGACAATTTAGCCAATCGACCTAGAAAGCCAAACAGAACATATTTCACATTCGTCTGAATAACAAAAGTGTACAGCATAGAATCGTAATTGACGCATTTCAAAATGGGAAGTGGATTTTTTTTAAACCATTGCCTTTCCCTCTTTTAATATCATCGGGTCAAATAGAATAAAAAAATTGAAATGACTTCCTCTGAGGTATAGTCATGATATTTGACTTTTAGCTATAGCTTGCTGGGGCAGAGGGATGTCACGTTTGTTCAAACAAACTGCCTTATAGTCGGCCTAATAAGTTAAAATATAACCGTTAACTGAAGAAATAACATAACGTTATGTATGGTGTGAATATTTGTTCGAAATGAGGTAGGATACTATTTTATCAATAAAACATGATCCACTGCACCATGGAACTGAAGGTATAGGTCATTTCATTCACAGGTATGTGTTGTGAGAACACTCTCGCAACACACAACATGTCCACGTCGGACGATTATTCGGTGTTTACGGATATTCGAGTGCATGGAGTTATTTCGGACCTGATAAGCTAAATCATGTATTTTACATTATGCACAATTATTGGCCAGAAGTCGGGAGAAATATGAACATTGTTAATAACCTGTCAAAAAGTTTATTAAATTGGCTTTAATAGGTTTACAGTGTATGTAACCTTATGGTTTGTTATTTAAAGAATCTTTTTTTTTGTTTTGTACTCAGTTGGCTCTTCACTTTGGTTGTCTAATTATTACAATTATTACAATAAGGCATTACAATTCATAAATATATATATATTTGTCAGTATGTTAGTAGTTAGTATGCATGTGGTTGTTAATTTATTATTATAATTTTCCCTGCTTTATATCGTATACATGTATATGGTGCTTGGCACCGAGCCATTCATCATTGTACTTTTTTTTTCTTTTTTTTTTAATGTTTTCCCTCTCTTTTTGTTTTAAATTTTTCATTATCAGAATTTCCCGTTTTTAAAGTCATATTATTGAATTTACAACAATTATCCACACTAAACTCGTATACCTCATTCTTCTTCGATGTTATACCATTAACATCACATCCTTACTCTCTATCTTGACATATTCTTGCATTCCCTTTCCAACTCACTTTGTTAAATGTGCTGGTAGTGATGTAATACTATTGTTATTTTTTTAAAGTTGTATACAGTTAACCTATAGTTTACAAAAGATGAGAAAACAAATAATAGATAAATACATGGGCTAATTAGAACGCTCGAACGTGCAGGGCACAGCCCGTGTATTTTTGTTCGAGACCCCGCGTTATATCAGCCATGAAGCATGCTATGTGACCACTACAGTATTTACAGTTTTAGGTAAGTACATATTCCTTTTAGCTCGTTTGATTTGAATTAAATTATGCCCAGGTTATCTATCAACGATTCTGCATGTAAGCGTGAACTTGTTTAGACGGCCGCTGATAGTGTTTCATTACAAATTAATATTCATTTCATGTGCGTAGAGAGAAGTTTCTCTTTATAACAGAGTGTTTCTCCATATTTAAAAACACTATTACCTTAAGTTTTTGTGTGTATGGGGGGATTAGATTCTGTTAGTTGAAGTGTCACGTGGTGTTTACATTTTTGATCAGCTAGGATACACATGCACCTGGTTAGATTAGTCATAGTAATGCATAGCAGCACGATAGAAGACATGAGTGTTCAAAGGCTAAGGCGGTCCCCACCGGCGAGGTCTGCTCAAGTCCTAATTATTACATGCAACGTGCTTTTGTTGATCAGGTGATTAGTCATAGTGTAGGCCTATTATTGGATTGGGTAGATCGATCATCCGATATCAAATCTGTTTGTCCACACTCGACATCATATTTGTAAAAAAGGTAAATGCAAATATTTGTAAAAAAATTTACAGGCCTACTGTATATTATGTTTAGCACATAAATTGGCTTTTCCATGTGATCATGTCCATATTTTGACTATAGACATTTTTCCCGTTCAACATATGTATTTTGTCACATGATGAAATTTCTTTGTCTCCATTCAATCATTCATCATTCTTTTTTCTCATATTATTTTACAGGTGATACAGGATAGTCTTTTTACAGTTGGATTTACACACACTAGTATGTGGTAAGCTGTCTTCGATGTGGGTGTTACCGTTGATTAAGATTGGGGAGGGTGGTATCAGCATAGCCCCATCTTACAGAAGATCAAGAATGTCTTTGAATGTTTTGCATTGATTGTTTTGGTATTTGTTGATATCTACTGTCATTTGTAGACATTGTTTGAATATACTTGTTACATTTATTTGTTTTATTTTTGCCTCACTGACATAATAACTTTTGTAAATTACAAAGCCAATGATTGTAAGAAGGTGATTTATTTAATTATATTTCGGGTATTCTATTTTGTATCCGATTGCCAAGTTTTTTAGAGTCAACATATCTTTTTTATATCCCATTTTTTCGAAAATATATCTGATTGTCTTGTGAAAATTTTGTAAATATTTACATTTTATGAAAAAAACATCATAATCTTCTATAGTGTTGCAGTCATTACAGCTTGGTGTATCACTTATTTACCATTGATGCAGAATTTGCTTTCATGTAAGGATTTTGTATAGTAATTTCCATTCATATTCTTTCAGCTTGTTGTTTTTTAAGTATTGAAAGACAAAATCATTTGTATACTTCAATTGGCCATATGTTTTATTGAAATCGTTCTCCAAATATTTTCTTGCGATTGGTTTTTCAGAATGAATTTTGACTAAGTGTTGGTAGATTGTTTGATTATTAAAGTTTTTAATGATTACTGTGCCTAGTTTTGGGATTTTGATGACCGGACTTCTTTCAATTTCAACTGAAAAGTTATGCATGCTAATAACATTACTTTCTTTTATTTTTGATAGCTAAGTTTTTTGGTATTGCTTTTTTTACTATGGATAGTTCTGATAGCCAATTAGTTTTATTTGTTAATTTGTCATATATTGTTTTATCATTTATTTTACATTGTGTTGTAATAGATCTTTGATAGTTACAATGACAATGTCTGATTCTACCCATTTTTTTAAACATATGGTTTTACCTTTCTCTTTATATGTCTATTCCGCCATATAATTTGAGCTAACATAGTGTTATAATGTTTTGGTTATTGGTTTGGTTCTCGCAGTTTGATCCATGTTGCTATGATTTCATAATAGAAAGGGGAAAGCTTTTCACTTTTTGGGAGAGTTTTTAAATTGTTAAGATTCATTTTACATATAAACATATTTTTGCCGAAAGTGTTTAGTTGTAGCATTGGGATACTTTTCCATAATGCTGCTTCCTCTGATGACAGTTTTTTCAACCTGCTTATTCTTAATGTAATAAAGTAATAAATACTCTTGTCTTTGCAAATGTTTGGTAAATTCATCTGTATGTTCTAGCTTGCTTAGCAATAGTTGTTGGTCTGACTTTGTTAAACACGTTTTAAACAAAAATAAAGAATCTCAAATTAATTGTATGTTTTGCGGTAGCGCACTACAACAAATCAATCACCAGTTATTCATTCATTTCCGCGAATGAGAAAACGAAAGTTAAAGTGCATTAATAATGATTTTTGAAACCGTTGGAAACGATTCCAATGATACAGCCTACTTAGGACAGATTGTGTCTATAAAGTCGTACTTTCGATTTAGAATAGTGTAAAGAAGCATATCTATGCTATTCTTCATATCTATTCGTGAAAAGAAAAGAGAAAATGTCTCAATATGATATCATGTATGCCTAGTAGTACTGTTCGTTTTTGTTCAAGGGTGAATTAAATCGGATACTGCTATTAATAACAAATACTATGTATATTTCAACGTGTAAAACTGAAATATCAGGTTTATAACTTGGCGAACGATTACAACGTCTGAGATGCAGTCTTACCTTACATATTTGCTGAAGGTACAATCTTGTATCTGAGCTGTCTATGTCTGTGTTTGTTCGTTCCCTAATCATATGCATGTAGTCGCACGTACGCGTGCTAGTGGTGCGATACGAGTGAGGAGAGGCTAAGGTGTCCGGGTACTCGGCATTCGAGCCTTGTAGTTCTAGTCGACAACACGCATTTACGATATGTCAGAGGAGTCCACTGAAGATCAGCCTGCTAGCGTAACTTTTCACAATGATGGTCAGGGAATAGATTTACCACAGCAGGAGGTTCAACAAGATGTATCAAATTCCGATACTTTAGTCTTTATATCTTTTGCGTACGTATTTTGATAAACAGTTCAAAAGTTTTAAAAGAGATATCATTGACGAATATGAGACCAATGCTGAAAACGTCGCCAAGAAGATAAAGGAAGATACAGTGAACTTCAAGTCAATGGTAACAAGAAACAATTTGAATTCAATTTAGAATTTGATTTAGCGCTTAAAAAGGCCGAGAGAGCCCTGGGGGTTCTTGATAGTTCAGCAGTATCAGACGCGCTAAACGTAGCTAGAGACCTAATAAGGAAAAGAAATAAACTTATAAGGATTGCCGATAAATCCCCAGCAGGGTGGGGTACGGTCGAGGAATACTTGTCGGACGATTAAGCTTCCGATTCGGAGGATGACAAAGAATGCGTCGGGCCGAGGCCCGTGTGGTTAGAACAATTAGCACTCACAGAAGGAGACCGTTTGACCGGGGTGGTCATTCGGGCGCTGGGCGTGGTAATTATCGCCCTAGTGAACAGTTGGATTCAAATAATTCGACCGGATTCACAGGAAGTGCTAGTGGTCAGCAGCGGCCCTTTTGGAGAGCTTCCCGGTAGGACGTGGGTTTCAGGTGCGGGGCCACGGGTCACAGGGGAAGGCAGTGCCCAGGGGGAAACGGCGTTCAGGCGGGGTATCCCAGTTACGGAGGATATGCTCCCTCCTATTCAAGACAGACCAGTACAGCAGCTCAGCAGGAAACAGGAACGAAGTGATCAAGACTTTGATGTTAAGTACCAATTAGATAATTTTCATTCTTGGTCTAGAGAATTTTCAGAACACGCAGATCTTTTTTGAAAATATTGTTGTTGATAACGACGAGTCTGTCAAAGGCCGGTTGAAGTCGCATACTGAGTTTTGGGAACAAATAGGAACTTAAGAATGTATGATAGAAACGCTACGAAACGGCTATGTTATTCCTTTTTTATACACCCCTCCAAAAGCAGTATTTAAGAATAAAAAATCTTCACATGTAAACTCAGATTGTGTATCGCAGGCAGTTGGGGAAATAGTTTAAAATGGCTGTGCTGTTCAGGTTCCATTCGCCCCATTTATTGTAAATCCCCTATCAGTATCTGTGAACAAAAACGGGAAGAAGCGCCTGATTCTGGAATTAAGTAACGTGAATAACTATGTGTGGAAACAAATGTTAAATTTTGAAGACTTTAGAATTGCTCTACAATATTTAAAAAAAAGATGGATATCTTTATAAATTTGACCTTAAATCCGGATACCACCATATATATATTTGTAAATCTCATCAAACTTTTTGGGGATTTTCTTGGGAAGGAAAGTATTTCTGCTTTACGGTTCTTCCATTTGGCTTGGCTAGCGCTCCATATATTTTTTACAAAGGTTTGAGACCCCTGGTTAAATATTGGAAAATAAATCTCGTTGAAATAGTTGTGTATATAGACGATGGGTGGGGGTGCGCAGACACTGCCACACATGCGCAGGCCAACGCTTCATCCGACAGAGATACGCTCGTTAGGGCAGGGTTTTTAATTAATGAAGATAAGTCTGTTTTTGTTCCAAGGATGTCATTAGAGTGTTGGGTCTAAAGTGGGAGTCCGAGGAGTTCACATTATCAATTCCCGAACGTAGGGTGAACGATTTATACGGGATCATCGATAAACTGTGGGCAAACTAGCGTCCCTTACGGGTACTATTATCTCAATGTCCCCGGTGATTGGTAATATTTCAAGGTTAATGACGAGGTTTTTGTACGACCTTATTCAGAACGGGTTCTCGTGGGATAGATCGTTTGCGATTGAGTCAGATAATATGTGTTTGAAGGAGATTTTGTTTTGAAAAATAGTATTGAAAAACTTGACTTCAAAAAGTTGCAAGAGTATAAGTTACCTTCTACGATAGTTTATTCAGACGCAAGTAGCATAGCCTGTGGAGCACATATAGTTCACGCTAATAACTTTGATCTTCATCAAATGTGGTCTGAGGATGAAACAAGAAAAAGTTCCACTTGAAGGGAATTGAAAACTATCAATTTAGCTCTGGGTAGCTACAGTTTTATTTTTGCGGATACTAATGTAAAATGGTACTCAGATAGTCAGAGTACAGTGCAGATTGTACAGGCCGGTAGTAAGAAGGCTGAACTTCAATTATTAGCGTTGGATATTTTTTTCCAGATTTGCTCAGAAAATCAGATTAATTTATCTATTGAATGGATTCCTAGAGAGGAGAATGTTATTGCAGATTTTATTACCAAGATCGATGATTCCAACGACTGGGGTGTAACAGAGGAATTTTTCGAATTTTTGAACAGTTGGTGGGGCCCCTTTTCTAAAGATAGATTTTCTAATGGGAATAACGCTAAACTTCCTAGGTTTAACGCGAGGTTTTTTCATCCATTGTCGGAGGGTATAGACACTTCTGCCAGCTGTGGGGTGAAGAAAACAATTGGTTGGTACCCCCTGTTAATTTAGTTAAACGAGCTGTTTTACGTGCAGTGGTTTGTCAAGCTAGGTGTACACTGATAGTTCCCTTTTGGCCATCTTCGCCATTTAGGTCTTCTTTGTTTGATATTGATGGAAACTATCGTCCTTATGTAAGTGACATTTGGTTAGCCCGGTCCGACAGTGTATGTTCCATCCCGATAATTTCAGAGGATCGCTGTTAGCTGTGAGGATTGATCCTAATATGCGTGTGTTATAGACATTAGTCATAGCTGTTGATCTGATGTGTATGATAATATGTTTATGGATTATAATCATTGAGCCAGAGATGTTGGTTCAATATTACAAGTAAGTCAGAGATGTTGGCTAATCACAAGTAAGCCAGAGATGTTGGCTCATTACAAGTAAGCCAGAGATGTTGGCCAATTACAAGTAAGCCAGAGATGTTGGCTAATTACAAGTAAGCCAGAGATGTTGGCTCAGTTTGGTAATGAAATCGGAGAGATATCATTGTCAACACTTACAATTGATATGTATATATATGAACACATATTTTTATCTTCGGTTTTAATGGGGGTTTTCGTTTTTTCGTTTTACAGAGCTTTTCCATATTGGCAGATGGAAAGATCGGCCGGTTGTAAGTGAGCGAGCTCAGGCTTAAGCGATTAGCTGACGATTTGACTTCCCATGTTTTGAGTTCAAAATCTATTAACACTGTTAAAAAGTACAAGTCCGGTTACAAACAGTGGAAGAAGTGGTGTAGTTCATTTGAAGGAATTTCCATGATGTCAGCTAATCCATTTTACGTGGCACTTTATTTATTTTCGTTGATTCAATCTGAATGTCATTTTTCTAAAATTGAGGAAATACTTTTTTCATTATCGTGGTGTCACAAAATCGCGGGATATCCAAACCAGGTAGAGATTTTTCAGTTCAATCCGTCAGACTTTGTGCGAAACGAATTTTAAGTCGCCCTGGGAACAAGAAAGAACTCATTACACCGGAGATACTTGAAATGTTAGTGGACAAGTATGGAAAAGCGGACGCTTCTCTTAAAGATTTGAGGCTACTTTCTATGTGTTTGGTTGGTTTTGCAGGTTTTCTAAGGTTTGCCGAAATTGCAAATATAAAAAGTTCAAATGTGAAATTTGAGGGTTCGTTTATGGTGATTTTTATTAGGTGTAGCAAAACGGAAAAGTTTAATGCTGGCAGTAATGTAATTATAGCGGCTACAAATAATAAGACATGCCCAGTTTCCATGTTGAAGAGATATTTGGAAAAATCGAAAATTATAGATAATCTGCAGGATTTGTACATTTTTTCCCAAATGTCTTTTTTGTAAATCGGGTCATACATTTAAATTACGAGAAAGCAATGTTAAACTTTCTTATACAAGGGCCAGAGAAATTTTATTAGATGCTTTGGGCTCGGTGGGATTAGATAAAACAAAAACAAAACAAAAAAACATGGACGTTAGAAAGGTGACAAGGCCAAGGACGGCTATGTTCATGAGAAAGTTAATGATATTTTGTCAGTTTTAAAAATCTTGGGATTTAGTGGTTTTCAATATTAATAAAGTTAATGTCTAATTCTGTTGTCCGGTTCTTTATTTATTCGAGGAAGCCTGTTGCTCACTACAGAGGCTTCCTCCCATGCACGTGTTGGTGTTTATTATGTTCGTTTGAGAAGGTCGAATTAGACCATAAATGTTTTTTATTATGAGTACATGGGACACGTGTAGGGCGAAGGGGGTGGGGCTATGCGTGGTTGACAGGTGTATCGGAATAGGGGTAGAACTAATCGTATGCATGTAGTCGCACGTACGCGTGCTAGTGGTGCGATACGAGTGAGGAGAGGCTAAGGGGACCGGGTACTCGGCATTCGAACCTTGTAGATCTAGACAATACGCATTTACTTAGTAACTTAGACCCACCCCCACCCCCACCCCACTCCTCCTCCTCCCAACACCAACATCTGTTTATGAAAATGGTGACCGCCCAGTTGGGTTTTATGTTATTTTCAGATCCCATTCATGGAGGGAAAATTCTGATGGATCTCCATCAATTTACAAGGGATTAAGCACGTATCGGGAAACCACGGAGATTGAGACGAGGCTGGAGAATGTTCGTTTTCACAGAAGGAACGGAACTTAGAAGATATGTCGAATTCTTTCTAACACATGCATATACTCGAATAAGTGCTGTTGCTCACTACAGAGGCTTCCTCCCATACGTTATGCCAAGAATTCATGATAAATTATTAATGTTCGTTTGGGAAGGTCGAATTAGAACATAATTGACAGTATTTTTTTATTATTTTTTCGCGTTTGTTTTTCTTTTCAAATCACTTATCATTACTAATCATTGTACATACGAAAAGAATGCAGACCTAAACTCAGAGTGGTGGGATAGGGGTTAAGATATCACCTTCTTCGTTACTAAGAGAAGTAACTCTTAAGACATTGTATAGTTGAATACATGCCCTCGGCCTTATAATGTTGCTGTTAGGAAATTGTCAGCTGTGTACTGGCAATCAGATCAATTTTTTCAAATGTTAATATTTTTTCATAGATTTTAGAAGCTTACTGAGTTATTGAGCCAGATAAGAGAAAATAACATATGAAGGCAAAGGAAAGTTCGAAGCACGTTTTTTTTTTTTTTTTTTACGTTATGCCAAGAAATGACCCTACCCAAGATACAGCTTTGAGAAAATTCACCTATATTTGCACCAATATTATGAACGA